GTGCCACGCTACGCGACGCCGCGGCGGCGGCGGCACGCGCTGGGGCCTGCTCGTACTTTGGATCGGCTACGATAGCCTCTTGGGAAGTCTGGAGACTTGTGCTCACTCGAGCCAGGCGTGGCAGGCCAGGCCGTCCTTTCCCCTGCAGGGACCCGTCCGTACCTGGTGCAGCTCAAACGCAAACTCTCTTTCGTTGTCGCGTAGGCGGTACGGATGATGCCGAATCCTTTATAATGCTACTGTTAGTTCGGTTTACAATAATAGGACCGGGCTTGCCATAGTGTTGAGTGGCGTGATGGGCACACTTTAAGCTCCTGTTCTTGTGGAAAGTTTCGGAAGTAAGCACCTGTCTTGCCATGATCCCTGGTATCTCCATCTCCGCGGGTGACCGTTCCGGCGTTCACTTCGGCCTCCGAATAGACCGTGTCTGACAGTCTGGCTGGCTGGCGACTTTGACATCCCATCATGCCGGGCACCGAAAGCATTTTCTGGCTGGTCTCCAACGGACGGGCCGTTGGGTATCCATTCAGTGCCGACTTGGCGTCTTCGATGTTCCGGCCGTTCGGGATCCATCTGAACCAATTGCTATGCCGTGAGACACTGACACGGATGGGGAAGGACTCTGGGTGAAAGGGTCTTCTCAGCTCTGTGCGTTCGCTTGAGCTTTCAGAGGTCTGTGAGATGTGATCATGACTGGTTCGCTCTCGGGGGTAGCCGTCGATCCTCACCCAGCGCTATGTGGGAGCTTGTATTGACGTGACCCGGAAAAGTGCCTTGTTTGGTACTTTGATGATCTTGCATTTGATATCGACATTAAACATTTGCACTAAGGTAGGCTTACGGCAAGGAGGAAAACTAACACGCGAGCAGAAAACTGTGGAAGAGCCTAGATCATCCTGCGTGCCTGTGATATCCGATACTCAACTCTTTGAGAAGGACCGGGTCAGAGGACCGAAGAGAGGAAGGGGCCACCCCGTACCCGACCCGATGTTACTGAGCAGCATTGCTGCCCATGAAAGATGAAGCTGCAAGAAATCGGGCAGGCAAGCAGACACGCGGACAAGGCAGGCAGGCTCATTGAATAGCGCGGTTTCATCTAGGTACCTTACGGTTTACCTCTATCATCTATCATCTTCACTACGGCAGTTCCCTCATCCTGTGTCCCTCTCATCTCTTTCAGTCCTTCCCGGTGTTTGTCATGGCTGATTAATCCAAAGTCGAATTGATTTGTTGCAAATTTTCCGTAAGGTGCCTTCCCGAGGCTTTACATCCCTTCGGCACCTCCCTCCCTTGTCGCTACCACGTCTGCTGAAAACTCAGCCACAAGTGCTGCTACCCAAGCCTTGGTCTGTGCACACAATCCGTGGCTGGTGATTTTTCTGACTCGACATCTTCCTCACCGACATCTCACCTTACTAAGCCTAGGTATCCGTATTCTGTATAGTTACATCAACACTCTATTAACCTTCCATATCCCGAAAGTATGAGCTCGGATTCTGCTACTATCGATTGCTCTTCGCTCGTGCCCCAACTTACCTTTCAAGATGGAAAGAGCGGTGTCTACGGATACAGGAGGCTTGTTGGTCTTACTCCATTACCTGATGCTTGATATGTCGCACGCAGAGTGAGCAAGTGTTCGTAAGATTGCACAATTTATTACACATGGTTCTTTATTGACCTGGTATCAGCGTCTACCTCGCCTGGTCTGTTCTGTCCACTCGTATCAATACAGTACCAAGACCGCTTGATGCAATATCTCAACTCCAAGCGTATCGGACCGCCTCCCAATGTCATCATCTCCGGAAATCTCAGCCTAAACCCCAATCGGCTGACCGGCAATCTCGGCCACAACAAATGACAGCTCATGGCATTTCATGACAACGATATACTGCATTTCAAGCACTTCGGGCAGGTCAAACTTCATAGGACGACGCATCTACCCCAACCCTCGGTCTATGGTACCCCGAAGTCGGGGTTACCCCATGCCTAATATTCCCCCAACTTCAAGCAATGCGGCAGCTAGCACAACACGTCCTCGGGGATAGCTTGGCGATCTCTCAAGAAAACCTAGTTGCGCTCAGAGCTCAGAGTCCGGGCTACTCCTCAATTCCCAATCTTCCGCTCTCCCGAGAGAAGCAAGGTATGACTAGGTTGATGACTGAATTTCCACCCATCAAAGCTCGCCGTTTGCTAGCAGCTAAGCTTACTTGGATTGCGGGGAACGGGGTAGTGCCCTGCTTGCGATATGCGCCCGCCCCAGTCTTGACCGACTGACGTCGCCTCCCCCAGTCAATCACCAATTCACGACTCACCACTCCGCATACTCAGGGCGAAAAAGAAGCAATACGAACCATGCGCTTCTCCTCCCCACGGAACCCACGAACCACGAGGGGTAAGAATGAGGAGAAGAGCGGCACCGGCGTGCCGGTTGCGCGGCTCAATGCTTGTTCGGGATAGGCTCGAGTAAGGGTATTGAATCGCCATACGGGTCATTGGACTTATTTAGTCTTCCCTCGGTGCCTGCTTGAGCGGTAGAAGAATACAAGAGAGAGGGGACCCTGCGAAATCTAGTTGTCGTTGCTCTCACTCATGACGTGACGCCGAAGTTTTGTCTGCCAAGATGAGAAGCAGTCTTTTCGCCGCCGCCCTTGGAGGGTTGATTTCGAATGCCTTCACGGCCCCGACACAGACCGAACCTTTTCTTAGGCAGGTTGACAATCAGACGTGGATCATTGGCAATGATGTGTGGAACATGACTCAAGGTCTCAAATACGGCGTGAAGCTGTACTACAAGGACCGCGACCTCGTCGGGAACGCCGTCGGCCACTACGTGAGCTACAGTACGTGAATGCCCTCATCTTGAGTTTCGAATCTTCCCAAACGGGGAACTAATACTCGCCCTTCTAGACGGCGCCGCAAACGACATCGCCTGGTCCTCCGCCACCATTGCCAAAAAGGGCACCCACGAAGGAACTCCCTTCATCGACGTCAAGTTCACCGCAAACGACGGCGACTTCCACTGGGTCATCTTCCAAGGCCTCGCTGGCGCCTACCAGTACTTTGTCAATCGCAACCTGCCCACCCTGGGCGAGTTCCGCACCCTCTGGCGCCTCGACAACACTACTTTTCCCAACGGGAAGACGGACCTCCACGACAAGCCGCTACCGAAGCTGGCTGACTACCTGCCTGAGAACAAGGTCCAAGATGAGACCTGGCGCACGCCTGATGGCACGGGGTATATCACAAAGTACGACTTTTCTGACTTCATCCGCACGCAAAAGTATTATGGCGTGTATGGCGATGAAGTTGGGAGCTGGTATATCAATGCTGGCAAGGACTACTACAACGGTAACCACTTGAAGCAGGAACTCATGGTACATGCTTAGTCTATATCTGCGATCCCAGGACATCACGCTTACGTTCCCTAGGTCCACCGTGAGAGTGCCACCGGCGATGCCGTACAACTTAACATGGTCCACGGAACACACTTCCAAGTCTCCGCCGTCGACGTCTTCCCCGTCGGCAAGATGTGGGGTCCCTGGCTCTGGTACCTCGTGCGTGAAATCCCCCTATTTCTCTTCAATAACCTCCATCAAAACTGACCACCACCACCTCCCCAGAACGACGGCTCCAAATCCGATGCAGAATCCCGCGCCACCTCCGAATTCGCCTCCTGGCCCTACCACTGGCTCGACGACTCAGCCTACCAATCCCGCGGCACCGTCAAGGGAAAACTCCTCCTCTCCGACGGCCGCCCCGCCGCCGGCGCCGCCGTCTTCCTCGGCGACAACCACCCCAACAAGACGGCCCTCGACATGGGCTCAGATTACTACTACACAACCTACGCCGACGCCTCTGGCGCCTTTGAGATCCCCCACGTCCGCACCACGGCAGCAGGCTACGCCCTCCAAGCCTGGTCCGCCGGCGCCGCCCTCGCCGACGTGACGACGCACATCCTCTTCAACGACGTCCACGTCACCGACTCAGGCCAGACGACGGACCTGGGAGCACTCAATTGGGCCGTCTCGAAGCGCACAAAACTCTTCCAGGTCGGCGACTTTGATCGCACCTCCCTCGGCTTCGCACACGGAGGAGACCCGTACTTTGGCCACGCCATCATCGCCTCGTGCCCCGAAAACATCGTCTTCCGCGCCGCTACCACCGGCAGCAACAGCACCTGCTCCGCAAGCAAGACTTCAGACTGGTGCTACGGCCAAACTTACAAGGGGAACTACACAATCTCCTTCCGCATCCCTACCCGGCCCGACCCGGCCCCTGCATCCGCGAACCTCATCGTCTCGCTGGCGGGTTACTCCACGGGCGCAAGCAGCGTCGTCCTCGCCAACGGGCAGCAAGTAGGGAACCTCACCAGCGGCGCCGTCGGCGTCGACTCCACTTCGGGATTGCTCAACGACCCGTCCGTCTACCGCAGCGCCACGGCGGCGGGCGAGTGGCGCCTATTCGAGTTTCCTTTCCCCGGTGCGCTGCTGAAGCAAGGGGAGAATGAGGTGACTTTCCAGCTCACGCGCAATACGACGTGGAGGGGGTTCATTTGGGATAGCATTGTTCTCGAATGGTAAGAGGTAGCCAGCCCCCTTTCTTTGCTGGCCGCAGCAAAGGGTGGGAAAGAAAAATTGGGCATGAGATTCTGTGTATATAATTTAAATATCCGTACATTTGATACAACAAAATCCAATGAGAGAGCATGTGTATCACATATCTCTTGAGAAAGATCCAGGCATCTAGGTTTCGGTTTCGGGAAGAAAAGTAGTCAGTACGTGAAGCAGAAAAACCACGAGGGCAACTTTTGCCGATTCAACGGCGTTCGTGTTCCAAATTCACACATCTAACAGTAACGTAAGGTACTCCATCATACAATTTTACACGCAAGGCAAGCCTGAGCCTACCTTTTCCCCTTTTACGCCTTGTCAAACACCAATAGCTTCCAACACCCCCGGACAAGTAGTATACCTCGACAAATCCACTCTAGCAAACACAAACTAGGCATCGGCTGCAGGTACAGCGGCATCAGTCGAGCTTTCCTCCACCTTCTTCTCTTGTTCCTCCGCAAGGGCCGTCTCCGCCGGTGCCGTCTCTGTGGGCGCGACAGCTTCCTCAGCTGGTGCCGATTCCGCAGTCACAGGGGCAGCTGCAGCAGGAACCGTCTCCGCCTCCGGAACCTCCGCAGCCTCTAGGACCAGAGCACTCTCAGTGGCCGCCGCCTCTGTTGGCTCTTGTGCGGGCTTCTCAGGCTCAATGGGCGGAACTTCAGGCAACGGCACTGGGTTGGCAATCTCGGGGAGCTCAGCCGGCTCCGGGTGCGGGGCCGCAGGCGGTTCGGTGAGTGGAGACTTGCTGATCTCGGCTTGGCGATCCAGCTCCGTCTCCAAACCGGCAAGCAGATCCGGGCCGTCGTCTTCTGGCACCATGGGAACTTCGGCAGGCGCTGACGGGACCGACGCCGGTTCGGCGGTGGGGATCTCGACGGCTGAAACTTCGACTGGTGCCTCAATGGGTTTCTCTGCGGGAAGATCGGCCGGTGCCTCCTCCATTGCAACGTCCGCAGAGACCTCGACTGGAATTTCAACCGGAATATCCACCAATGGTGCTACGGAAGGCTCGATTTGAGGCTCGAGGGGTGACGGCGGCGGCAAGGCAGCTGACTCCTCGGCGGCTGCTTCGACGGGTACTTCGACTGGAATCTCTGGTGGAATGTCGGCAGGTTCCACAATAGGAGGCTCCAAAGGAGCTGGGGGTTCCAGCACGGGAGCGGATGATTTGACTGATGACTCCGCTGCCGGAATCGCTGGCGACTTCAATGGCGATATGACGGGAGACTTCGCTGGTGACGTAACGGCTTCTGCGGGTTGTTCAGGCATTGGGGGCGCAAGTGGCATCTCCTCAACCACAGGTGCCACGGGCTCGGCCTCAGCAATCGGAGCTGAAGGTTCAGCGGTAATTGGCGGAATCAAGGGACTTTCTTCCTTCTTTTCAGAAGGATCCTCCATGACAATTGCTGGCTCCTCGGCAGGAGGCGGCGGTGCCTCCGAGGTTGAGAGAGCTTCAGAAAGCCCTGGAATCTCAGGGGCCTTGGGAGCCTCGGGGACTGGAGAGGGCTGACGTTCCTCGAGGGCGTCAAGCATCATCGAGTCTTGTGCAGCGTCATTCGACGCCACAGTTTGATCGCCGCTTTCTAACCTGGTACCCGAAGCATCGGTCTCTGCAGTCGTCGCCAACGAGAACGTTGATCTTGTCTCGGCCATAGGCGAGACGATGTCGCCCACCTTTTCGGCAGGCGGGAGCGCTGTCGATGCATCGTGAAGTTCTGTTGTAGTATCGGTAGGAGGTAGCTGATCAGGCACAGGCGAACCCAGCAATTCCTGGGGAGCCTGCGGGGAAGGCTCCTTTGTGGGTTCAGCTCCATCAGCCATGGGTATGTCAGCCTGCGAAGGCTCGCTCTTTGATTCCGCGGGGGGCACCAGTGCCTCTGAAATGGAGGAGAACTGGGCTGGTGGCTCCGTGGGGGACGGCAAGACTACGTTCTTGAGAGGGCTGCCCTTGGGAGAGGAGTTTGCCAGGTGCATGTTGGGAGGGGCGAGGTTGATGGGATTTGCCATCGGCGCAGCGCGCTTTGGTACAGGTGATTCGGGATCGGTCAGTTCCGCCGTTGTGTCGACAGTCGGTGTGGGCACAGATGGAGATGCGTCGGTCATTTCCTGGTCCTGACCATCCGTGTTCTCGCCATCGCGCTGCTCCTCGTCGCCGTCATCGCCATCATCACCATCATCGTCGTCGCCGTCGTCATCGTCATTATCAGCCATCTCGCTGTCGGGGTTGTTCGAGTCCTCCCGCTCTTGCTTGACAGCCTAGAAGCCAATCAGTCACATGCTCTCAGTAAAGAGGAGTGCGGTAAACTTACAGGGTCTGTCCCATCCGCCCCCTCAACTTTGGGAGCTGCAGGAACACCTTCTACTGGAGGCGCAGCAGCCGGTGCGCCAGGCACCGCCGGCGCGGGCAAAGGCAGGATCTTCTTCTTGCGGCCGCGTCCCGGACCAGGCTTGTTCTTCTTCTTGGGTGGCGGTGGTCGCCGGACGCGTTGCGGCGCTTGCTGCGTGGGATCAACAGCCGCGACGGCCACGACCGTCGTCGAGATGATCTCGCCCTCAACCGCCTGACCCTCCTGCAGCGTAATCTCCTGCGTGTACGGGTTTCCTGCGGCATCGACTCGTCGCACAGTAGCCTTGGTCACCGTCGCGCCGGGAACCTGGCTAGAGACCGTCTTGGAAGAGATGGTGACGGTGCCCTTCCTGCGCTTGGCCAAGTGCGAGACGGGGGAACCCTCCGAGTTGCGATTGATCTGCTTCCACACCTTGATCTGGAAGCCCTTGGTCTCCGCCTCGTCCTCCTTCTTCTCAGGCTTGTCGGGCACGGCGTCGGCGTCGGCCTCTTCCTCCTCAGTCGGCGCGGGCCTCTTGTAGAGGACACCCGATCGCGCGGCGCGCAGGAGGTCTTGGCTGTGCTGGGGCAGAAGACCCGCGTCCTTGGGCATGCCCCAGGGGAGTTCGACGTCCCAAATGTCGTTTTTCTGCGTCGTCTCGGGGGGCGCGGGGGGCTCAACGCTCACCCATTCCTGGCGCCATTGGCGCACGGGGAGACCTTCAAAGTCATCGTGTTCGGTGTATCCGCTACGATTCGCGCGTCGAGTCTACCGAAGCCACTTTGTTAGACTTGCTTGTCACTTGTCGCAAGGCAAACTCGACTCGTGTCCAAATGTTCATTTGACAGAACTTACTCCTGGCGCCATTATTAAGACGTGATTTCCACTCGGCGAACGCGGTCACAATATCCAAGAGGGGTTCGAAGTTGGCCCAATTCCAATTGATGCAGGGTCGCGCGCGCAGCGACGGAGCTCTGGTCGATTCGCGACGATGGTCCACAGATTCTGGACTCGAAATAATAATGACTTCGAGGGTGTAGACTAACGGCTATGACGAGAATGCAATGTGCACCACAAGTTGCAAATAATTGATGCGACGCGCGCGGACGCTGTGTTGTTTCGCTGATTATTGAGTTACTGTCGCTGTAGACTGCCGTGGATTGGCTCCACCCAGAGACGCAGCCTCGTCGCGAACTCTAAAGGCGGCAAGCGCGAGGACAGCTTGGCTTAGTCAGCTTTACTGAGCACACCGAGGGTTAACCGGTGAGACCTCGGTGTGGAATTTAATAAGAACCTGTACCTTGAGTATTCAGGAGGACAGCAGCAATGGTTTTCTTCAGCTTGTTTGTTCGATATGTTTGGTTAAAAATTTAAAGCGACACAAAGAAGATCTTTGCATAGTGAGTGGAACGTGGTCCATCAATTCCTATCAACGTGTATTCCCGCAGCCGCTTGCGAAGCTAGGGAGACCATCGACCTCGATAACACTCGAAGACGAGTCGAATGGAAGGCTTACTTGGCAGACAATAATCACACACCCCTGACGAGGTCGCTGTCAGATTCGTACGCAACACAGAGCACCCAGTCTATCCCGCCATCCACAGTTCCGCGAGAACGAAAGGCCCCAGTCAGAAACGCCATTGCCATATCTATATGCTCCAAAAAAGCCCTGGTTGGAGATTATAAAAGAATAAGACAGCACTCCAGAGAGGAGTGCCTTTCATTTGGGGAGTAATTGCCGCCACGCCCGGTCCCCCTTCATAAAGTTGAGTGAATATCTTGACGCCTCACCCCCTTTTAATGGTCATACACACCCCGATCCTTCCGCCGGTTTTTTTTTCTTGTCTTCCGCCCCCCACGTTTGAGTATATAGTACAGGAAAAGATCTCGACCCATCGTTTCCGTCGAGCTCGCGACGTAATTAGGTTGGCCTCCGTTCCACACTCCTAGGAGTTTCGTTATTTAATCGAAGCTGTGGGGGATGAAAGTTAGTTCCTATCACGCAAGCCAAAAGTAGAGGAACTCACCCATGCTCCGTTTGTCTGACAATGCCGCCCTTGTTGCCCTTTTGCTTGCCAGCGGCGCCGCCCTCAACCACTAACCGATCAAACTGGAAGAACTGGTTGACGACGGTTTGCCTCTGTTTCCGTAGTGTTAGCTCCCGATACTTTGTTCTTTATTGCCTTCGGGCACTCCCGTGACCCATTCTTCCCATCCCTAGCTGTCACGCAGAAAAAAACTGTTTCGACGAGAACTAGAGGGTCGAACTTCGTGGGGAGGGGAGAAAAAGCCAAAACCCGTAAACAGAGAGCCCACTAACCTTGAGCTTCTCAAGCTCCTTAATCCCCTTTTGAATCAACTCCTGCACCTGCCGCGGGTCCTCGACCTTTTGGTGCTCCCTGAAGGCATCCCTCGTCCGCCGCTTCGCATACTCGCGGAAGTTGTAGGCCGCAAACTGGTCGCCCGTCTTCAACAGCTGGCGATACTATCATTTTCGCAAAGGGCAATGTCAGCAAAAGCTCTTCTTATAGGCGCTTGGGAAAGGAAATAAGGTCTTGGCGTTTGGATCTTTTCGAATTCGAGATGAACGACAGAAACACCGGCATGCATGTAATCGGGAGAGATCGTGGGAGATTTTGCCAACTTGTTTCTACGTACCAGAGACCGAGCTTGCTGCGGCGCATCGCCCTTGAGAGCTTGTATCGCCGTCGCCATCGTGATTGCGCTTCTCGTGTGAATACCTGCGTTGTCCGTACGGGAACAAAAAAGCCTATCGATTGGCTTTGAGGGCTTCGTAGTTATTTGCTGCGGGGGGGCGGGGGGTTTTGAAGTGCGGTTGCGAAAAAGAAAAAAAAAAGATAGCTCTGGGCGATGTGAAGGCGCAAATGGGAATTATTTCTCGAGGTTTCGGGGCGGGAAACGGACCTATGATGCAAACGCGGTTTCTCTCCTCCCGCTCGGCGTTTAGCTTTAGCGGCTCCTTCGGGGCGCGGCATTTTACTAATCCGCCGGCTAAGCTGCCCTCAACGTGCCGGTTGGCCGATGTCGCCTCGTACCTCTGGTTTTTGTCAATCACCCAAGTGGACGCAGCCGAAACAGTGAGCAATCTATTCATCATCGTTTAATTGAGTGAGATTTTGCCAAAGAATTGAGGACCAGCCTGGAGATTATTGGCACGGAATGAACTTCAAATCCGGCTACCCGTAGTGCATTCCATTTTGCACCATGCTGAGACACCCTGGCCATTTCAGCACCTTTACATGTAGACACCTCAAACGACACATTTGCAAAGTGTTTGTAAGCTACCTCTATTAATGCTTATAATCTACAATGCCTTGCCCCCTCGTTCCTGGTATCCTGACCCTGCAGCTGACCAGTTCTACACTGCGCGGCCACAAAAAGGGGGTTAGACAAGAAAAAGAAATGTCCCGCGTCTTTGATATATGCCTCTTGATGAGCACTATATATATGACATTGTGTGTGGTGTGTATGTTCATTGCGCCGCCGAACGCCACTACTATGGCGCGGCCATTATTTTGCAATTAGGGTAGGCTCATGAATAGCTTCTCCATCTCAGGATAATTAGGTGTTCTGGTTTGCGTTTGTTAGTCGCTTGCTTGCAATATCCAAGTCAAGGAAGAAAAGTGCTTTACTCACCCCATGCCGGTGACGGGATCCCAACCTGCCACAGCGGAAAAGCCCTTGGTACCGCAGCCTGGGTTGTCGCCGTTGGTGACGTCGTTGAGAATCTCTGGGTGAGCGTAGAGCGTCGGGTTGATGAAGCCGACAGGCTTCTTGCCCGCCTCGATACGCTTCTCGTTGATCATATTAACAATTGATCCAACGACAGGCGCCGATGCTGCGAATAGGTTAGTCTTCGCCGAACAGATACTGAAAATAAAAGTCGAATGGCTCACCTGAAGTGCCGAAAGAGAGCGAGAACTTGCCGTTGACGGCAGTGACATAGTTGGCGCCATTGGCAGCAATGTCTGGGAAACCTCGCACCGTCTTGGAATTGTTGTACCGATCTGCGCCATATGGCGGCGCGTTCTTTGCGTAGTACTGCTCCATCATCTTCTTTTGATAGTCGGGGATCGCAAAGACGTTGGAGAAACCTCCGCCAGAGAAGATGGCCTTTTGGCAGGCGCTCTCAGGGGTGTGGACTGTCGATCCCTCCAAAATTTGAGTAGCACCAACGGAGGTGACCCAAGGGCAGCCGCCAGGGAAAGAAGGATTGAAGATACCCTGCTGTCCCTCATTGTACGCACCAGTCTGAGTGTCAATGCACTGCTTGCCGTTACCGGCAACACCAGAGTCGCCAGAAGAGTAGAGTACTGTGACGCCCGCCAGGCCGAGCTTCATGTACTCGGCACACTGGCGCTCGACGTACTTTTTGCCGAGATCTGCCTCGTTGAAGCCGTAACTTGTGGAGATGACGTTGACCATGGGGACGGAGCCGCAGACCTTTTGGCTGTATTGTCCGTCAATGTTGGGGTCCTTGGAGCCGCCACCTTGGAAAGTGCAGTAGCTGCCGTCAATGGCATCTAGGAAGTTGTTGAAGCTGGCACCCTGGTTGAGGTCACCGACCTGGTAGAGAGTTGTCGTTTGGGGGTGGATCATGGCCATGGCGAACTCAAGATCGAGCGCAGACTCGCCATTGAAGCGGAAGCTCTGGTTCGTCGTCTGTACGACGGCGTTTCCGACAAGGCTAACAATGGGGCCCTGTCCCTTCGCACGAGGCTCAAACTCGTTGAAGTACATGTCCAGATCCGACTGGAGGAATGCTTGCGGCGTGTACTCAACGATGCCGAGGGTATTGTTGGACGACTTGAGCGATCCGGGAGGAGTTGCGTAAAGTGCCCGCAGGCAGTCCGGAGTGATCATGGAGTCGCACTGGTTGAGATCCATGAGGGCGTTCATGACAACCGCGCCCTGCTTGGGTCCGAAGCCGCTGTCCGGGCTGCCCTGAATGGCTGGGTTCTTGCCGCCAGTAGCAACGTCTCGCTTGGCGAGCTCACGCTTCCTGAGTTGCCGCTTCTTGAGCTCTTCGATGTGGTGCTCCTCTAGATCATACTTGGTGTTCTTCCTTTGCTCTCCAATGCGCTGGTCAAAGTGAACCGTTGGCGTGATCATGTCGATATGCTGAACCAAATGCTCCGGTACGTGGTACTTATCGCAAGCCACGTGCTTGTGACCTTGTTCGTGCTTGTACATGTGGTACTCGGTCTTCAAGAGCCGCTCCATCTCGCCTACTGTCCCGTTGAACTGGATCCAGCTGCGACCTCTGGTGAGTTCGACACGACTCCGGTGGATGCCCTCGCTCTCAAGCCATTGCATGACCAGAGCAATGGACTCCTGCTTCGGTGCAAACATTTCGGCGATTTCATCATGAGTCCAATGTTTGCCGTAGTTGGGCGAGTCGGGGTGTGCCACATCGTTCATGAACTCGTTTGCGCGGTGAAGGTTTGACTGAGCAAGACCAATCCGTACTGGCAGCCTGGCCATGGTGTGTAGTTTGTGGTTCTTGACCCATTCTCTTCGCGCGGGGTGCCTCTCCTCGTGCACGACGTGGCTGTGCGACCGTGTCACCGGGTTTGCAATGGTCACCGCCGCAAGGGCGGTGAAGAGGGTGGCTACAGCGCTTAGCTTCATCGTGTATCTTCGGGTCGTTTTCGTCGTCAAACGTCTTCCTCTCTACTCTCTCACTTCACACAACGAGTCGAACCTAAGTCAGAAGAACCGAGCGACAAGGCTGGCTATTTGTTGATATTTTAGTAGCTGTCGTCCAGTCATGACGAACCCCACTGACGCAAGGTAGCAGCTCCAGACCTGACGAATGCGAAACCGGTTTCAATAGGATCCTGTGGGCTGTTTGTCTGGTGGTGACAACCCAAAACGAACACTTGGGTGAACGGCAGCCTGAGCGCATGGGATCCTGTGGCAAAGACGGGAACACCTCTGACAAGTGCAGTTTCTTACCCCCCCGGACCCCGGTTCGAGGAATCTCTTCGTGGCTCGCCAGGCTGGCCTCATATCGGGAAGTTGTGTGAAAGATTGATCAACAACAGGCCGATAGCCGAAGGTTAAGCTTTGAGGCGCGAGGTTCCCCAAACAATCGTCTCATATAGGTCCGGACCACCCCAGCAGGACGGTTTCTAGGCGTTTGCTAAACAAAGATGATTCGCGGCCGATTCGTGGTGGTCATGCGAGACGAATCATCAAGCTTTCACGGATTCTTCTGCTCAAGATGGATTTGGTTCCGATGCAATTCCTCAAATGACTCGAGAGGCGAAGACAAGGAGAATTGAATGGGGGAAAAAAAGTTTGGATAAGGTCAATTGAAGGCTCGAGCCGCCGTCTGGTTTTGGGTGAAGGAAAGATGAAACGCTCTCAGGTATGAGATGATTTGGCTTCGTGGTACGGCTGCATAGTCAGCTTGTGTAGCGCCCGTTGCTCGTTGATAATATCCCACAACACTTCAGTCTCCTGCTGAGCCTCTTCATCCGTGGCACTTTGTTGTGCATGAGACTCCTGGAACGAAAGAATGGCGGCCTCAAGCGCATCATCAGGCAAGCCAAAGCCATTGAGCATCTTGCCGAATCTCGTCTCTTGTTCGAGACTTGTGTTTAGTTGAGATGTGAAGGTGAGTTGCCGCTCGGTCTGAGTGGGCTTGACAACTGCAACAGCTTTTGTGGGTCGAGGTGTTTGCAGCAATGGCGGAAACACCAAGTTCGTCACAGAGGCATTGAGATCTGTCAACTCTGTGGGGTGCCCGTTTTCGGCCAGTTGCCATTGCAGGATTTTGCCTTTTGCGTGACCGGATAAGATTGTTGTGCCATCATGGTTTGGTGCCAAGCACAAGGCCGAGCCAGCATCTTCATCAGCGACTCCAATCGGTGAATTTACTTGGACGACAGTCGACGATGATTCAGTGCTATTCGGACCAATGAGCGGCTTCTCACCGAAGAGCTCTACGAGGTGGAGAGCCCTGTCCTCAGATGAAACGAAGACGGCACGACCGCAGGGATCCATGGAAACGCACAGCGGAGCCGTGGGGAACAGTAGTGTACGCAGAACATCGCCCGTTTGATAGTTCCAGATGATGCAGGTCTTGTCTTTGCTGGACGAGACGCAGATGTTGGTTTCCGGGTTGACACTGCCGCTGACAGCGAGCGATGTGATGGCAGCCCTGTGGTTGGAAAGCGTACGGTCTGGCTCGCTCTCCACCGAAGCGTCCAGCTCCAGCAGACGCGAGATTGTCCAAACATGAATGTTAGAGTCTTCGGAGCCTGTGAGGATGTGATAGGGCGTGACGGCTAGACACGAAACGGCCTGGACGTGGCAAGGTGGTGTGACCAGCTGGCGACCGGTGCATGTCTGTTGTTTCGTTAGCCATAACAAGCCGGTTGGAATCCGATCCGGGAATAGAAAATGTTTACCTCCCACAAGATCAGCCTGCCCTCAGAGGTGCCTAACGCTAAGACATCGTCAATCAACGCCAAGCTCCGAATCCGCTCTGGGAAGGTAACGACTGTTTCTTGGATGCCCCGCGATCTCGAGTAGACGTGGACCTGGGACTTTTCGTGCTGGGCGGCAAAGACATGCGAGTCACTGACAGCCAGGCAGTGGGCCGGGGTAGCACTTCTCTTGAGAGTTGACTTGACAGTGTAGCTGGGGCTGAGAGTATGGGCGTAGATGCCAATATCTTTGGACACGGCCGTGTTTGCCGCAATAGGCGGGCCGCAAATACAGGAGTAGAATTCCTCCGATAGCATGGTGGAGATGTGAGTGAGAGAGGCGGTATCCGGAAGGTGTGGTAAAGGCCGAATAGGCCGCGGGCTCGTCGGAATCTGAGGCTGCAGAGATTATCCGAGAGCGGCTCTAACTTCGGATGCTCGGGTGAGAGAACGCAAGGGGTGAGAGAGACCAGGCGAATCGACGGCAGGGTTCGAGAATAGAAGCCGACGATGCCTAGAGCCACGAGGTGAACAAGACTCTGTCCTTGTGCTCGGGAAATGATTCAGTGCCACGAGTTTGTGAGATGGGCGTGGCGTCGATCCGTCGAGGCGAAATGGTCGGGTCTTGGAAACCACGTTGGAGGGCTTGATACTGGACTCAGATCTCTCGAGGTTATTAAAGTGCGAACGCGAGAACCAGAGCAAGAGCCAGGGTGGGAGCGAGAGTGGAGGACCAATGGCTGGTGTTAGCACCAAGCAATGTTTCCTTCTTCGAGTAGTCTATGACACACTGGCGTGCTCGTGGCGTTGAGACCGAAAAAGCCAAGAACAAGACTTGGAAAGGTTTGATAGTGAGGTTGAAGGTGAGGTGTGATGAGGCTGAAGACCCAGCTGCATGTCACATTGAGAAGGACGATGAAAAAATTCGAATCCACTTTTCCCGAGGTGCGTTATCGATAGCGATCGAGAAACGGCCCCACTACGGAAGCGCCCCCTTTGGGCTCTAGGTATGTTCAGGTCGCCAAGGGCCTTTTGGCAGTCATGCAGTGCATTTGATAGTGCAGGTGTGAATACCTTAGGGCAGCTAGAAAATACGCTAACAACCGATGGCCGCCAGACGTTGTCTCCCGCAGGCGCCACGGAGGGGTTTGACCTGTAGCTTGCCTATAATCCAGCCACTAACTCACCCTTACAGCAGAGAAGGAGCTCTCAGAACGCCAACTGCTCTCCCTAGAAACACTAACAACGGTCTCCACGCGGTCTGGCTTATGGGAGGGAAGGAGCGCACGGGGCAGCAGATTCAACTTGGCAGGTGCAGCTAGCTGGAGCTCCCTTACTTCCTGCACCTCGCGAGTTTGCAACATCGCCAACCATCAACGACACGACACCACTTCAACTTCATCTCTTCATGCCATGGTTTTTTTCCACAAGACATGTCTCTCCTCTCGCACCTCTAGCGCACGCCACGAAGCCTGTCTCAGACTCCACACTCTATGGTCTTGATTCGCCAATCTCTTCCAGTTCTACCGTTCAACCTTGGTTTCTAGCGGGGAATCTAGACAATCCTTCGCTTTTACAAACTGCCAACGAAGCAAGATTCTGAAGTTTGAGCTTCCTGTTGTCTTACATGCTCGATACCGCCTCAGCCGCCACCTGTTCGTATCACTCAACGCCACGCGCCAGGTCTTTCTTTTTTACCAAAAGATCGCCGGCTATCTAGGTAATCAGCTCTGTGCTCTGGCAGTCTGGGTCTCGGGCATCCGTCTGACGTGACGCCCCGGCTGCATCTGCCATCTGCATCCATGATACAATCACATTTCATCTGCAGCTCGCCAACAGGAGAGGCCTGTGACTTACTGCCGCTTGAGTCTTGACAGTTGGGGATCGAGGCATCCCGCAATCTACTACGGATACCTAAGCTTTCAGCCGTTGCCTTGCACGTACGAATACCTGTGCTCGGTCCTGATTTCACTGATTCAATATGCTGGTCATCTGCAGAGTACCTCACATGCCTCGCTTGATACGGCGACGACATCAGCAATGGCGCCCCTTCTGGAATTTGAGACGAGACGAAGGCAAGGGAGCCTGCGGACCCATTGCGTCCCTCACGATCCTCTTGTCTGGTAGATGACGATTGACCAAAGCAGGTCATCAGCCCGTCACAAGATTGCCAGCCGACCTTCGACTCTTCGACTGCTCCATCCAGAAACGCGTACGTAGTCGCGGTCTCTCAAGTTGGTTGGCTCTGGGCCGTCAATTTCAAATGTGTCCAGGGACAGCTTGCTGGGCTTACATGCCCTGGTCCATGCAGACTCTAACCCTTGCTCGCTGCTATGCACAGCCGGGGGAGGGTACAAATCGACGTTGCATTTTAATCCAATGATGACCTGCTGGGGCCCTGTCTGCTCAAGAGCCGGAGGAGCAGCAAGCATAGGATGCGTCGACAAATTGCAACATTGTGCAGACTGCGCGACGCATGCGACCTGCGAAGACGGCAGATGGCATGCGATGCGACCTTTCAATTTCACATCATCAATGACGAGGAAACAAGACATACGTACTTCGTGTACTTCGTACAGACTGTCAGACTGGACGACGGCAGAAGGCGCTCCGCTGATGATTCTTCAGAAATAATGAATTGAGCCAAGGTCGACACTGCGATGTTCGTTTACCCCAACTCTCAGACATCCGAGCGCGCGGCGAGGGAACCAGATCGCCGGTCTACCTGGTTTATACAGCACGATGCCAGGGACTTGCCCCTCTCGTTATCCTATCACGGTTGAATTCTCTGCTGGTCTGCTGCGCCGCCCCTCAATCTCCTGTTGATCTCGGCAGGGCCAGTCAATCCGGAAGGGGACAACAAAAAAAGGGAGAGCCGAGAGACGACCCTCGCACACCTCGATCCAAGTTGCCACACACACACTCAACGTACCGTACGGAGTACGGATACACATTTCACATATCGAGTCCGCAGACAAGAACATGGGCACGCCAAAGACACACATGGGACAAATCCAGGCAAGCAGTGCCGAGACAGAAAGCTGCCATCCGCCGCAGAGATCATTTATGGAGATTTGGTGGTCGCTAGCACTGTCATGAGTGGAAATGACAACAGCAGAAGAAACAGAATTGCAAGCCTTGCAGGCAGATGTCAGGACCTCTTGTGCCACGGTTTGCATTGCAAGCTGCTGTACTTGCGACGATCGTGTGCGTGCCGCCGCACAACGCCTGCCGACACATGCGGGTACTGTGTACGGATACAAGATGCAGGCTGCAGACGCAGCAACACAGACGCCTCGGCCGCCCTGGGCCGGTGGCACTAACATGGAATACGCGATGGGGCTTCGCTGCGGCCTGCCAGGGATCTGATCCGCCGCGTTGGTCGTTGGTCGCTGGTTGTTGGACGGATTTTTGGAGTCTAGTCTGTTCTTTCGCGGACCCTTCGCTTCGATCCCTCGGAACTCGATTTTGTGATCGATTCTTCTGTGTTATGCTTCACCAACATTTGATTGCGGAAACCCCAGTGCAACGTGGTGGATATCATTCGCGGAGGTGACAACTCGTTCGAGGAGAAAACTCTTTCAACCTCCATCTCGCAGCCGTTTAAGCCTCCATCGTACAGGTCGCGGTGGACACGGCCATGTGTCATGAACACGCACTCGGGTCGGGACAATTAATGACAGTTCACAGGCGAAGACCATGCTTCAGACAGAATCAGACGCCAGCCCACCTTCCAAGCTTCGACGCCAAATAAGACCAATATTGCTTCTGCAACCGTGTGGCAGCGAACTGCCGTATGCAGCGCAGATATGCACAGAGAGCCCACTACCAGCGTAGCATTATTGAAGGCACAAGAGACCCTCGCCCACGTCCGCCCACATTGCTTTTTCTTCTTTTTCCCTCTTCTACTTTTCGACGGTCCGACGATACGGGTACGGAGCACAAGCTACGGATACTCAATGTATACATACTTTGTACGGGTACCCAAGTTGTGATTGTTCCTTCGGTGGACCGAAAATCGGGGACGCGATGCTTGCCGTTTGCTACTCGCTTCTCAAGAGTCAACACTAAGAGGCATGCTGCCCCTGACCCGGCTATTCTAGGTGTCTCCATCCCGTGAGCTCCGGAGTCCCGCTAGACTGGTTCCCTCACTGGTTCGCAAATCGCAACGGGCTCGCGAGAAGAATACATAAAGTATCACGCGGTACTGGGGACGCAAAGCGGACGGCACGGGTAGTACCTATGCTGTGGTTCGCGCAGACTCTGCACGCTCCGGAAGTGAAAAGAAAAAAAAAACACCAAAGCAAAGGGACGGCCTTGGCTACCACTCTGTACAGACTACACATGCATTGTTGAGGTGCGGACGACGCAAGGGCGAAAAGCACCATGCTTGGCGAATTTGTGTCTCACTCTCACAACTAACAATGGCCGTCAGCATTCTTGTCTTCCTACGGACCTTCGGTCTGTAGAATACTTAAAGTCTCCCTCCGTGTCGGTTGTCTGAGAAGGTGCAGCAAGCCCGACGACGTGTATCGCACCTATATTGATTGTTGTTGTTGTTGTGGCCCTCGAGGTGTCACGGCATACGCAGCTTTCCCCTCCGGCAATCTCTGGGAAGCAATCTTTCTCATTCTCGATCCCTCGTCGTCACCCTCGAGGTATTCGGAGACGGAGCTCTCTCCCGCCACACCCCCCTTCTCATCTCATCTCCCTCGTCACGTCGTGGGCCCTTTCTTACTCTTCCACTACTCTCCAACGGTCACAGGGTGCCCTCTTTGGGGATCCCGGATCCGACCACACAATCGTCCTTCGGCTTTTGTATACGGAGTATTGAGATACACTACATTGTACCGTACGGATACCTCCCCCCTTGGGCCCCTTCTCATACGCAAGGAAGCAGAAGCAGGATAGAAGCAGTGGAAATCGAACAACAAGGTCCTCCCTCGGATCCCTACTAGCGACAGTCCCTTCTTCTGCCCTACTGCTCCGTCGTCTCTGCCCATTGCCCACAGACGTGAGCAGTCGGGTGTCCATCGTCGCTGGAGCATTGTGGTGGTACACACGGCTACACGCCCGTCGCCCGTCGCCCATCTCCATTCCCTTCCCTGTCGTCAGCCCTGGCAGCTTAAAGGCTGAGCAGCTCCCAAGCGGCCAGCATCCTCGTGAGCAACGACCACCCCTGGCTCTTGGAGTTTCTCCCCTTTTCTCCCAGAGACTCGCCCAATGGCATGAGCATCAACCCATGTGGCATGCACCCCATGTTCGCGTTAGACGTTCCAGCTCCCTTCCCTGCCCCACACGCGACCGAGGCCCTCCCTGCAAGGAACATCTCTCCAACAACCTTTAAAACATCCCGTCCGCCGGTCCTGGGGCGAAGACGCTCCGTCCGGAGCATGAAAAACCTCTTGCCACTGACCCTGCCATCCAGCTCCAGCAACAGCTCCAAGACCAGCTCCTCCAACTGCAGTTCAAGTTCCAGATCTAGCTCTAGCTCTAGCTCTAGCTCCATCTTCAGCCCGCAGCCGATCATCTGTCGTCCTGTCTCGTCGCCGCTGCCAACCCAGTTTGAACCATACCACCATCACCATACTCATCACCCGCGTTCGCAACCGCATACCGACCTCTCGTACGGATACCATCCCGAGCGTTTATGCATCCGAGCCGGCGTCATGGCCGAAGCCGCGGAACCAACCATGGACTGCAACCTGCCGGAGCTGCTGGCTCAGGATCTTGAGTTCTCTGCCCTCATCTTCGCTGCCAAGAACATGACTGCCGGCGCGCCCTCGCCTGCTCTCGCCTCAGACGAAGACGACTGGCACGACACCGCCGAACCTCCTACCGTCCTCGGCGCACCATGCCATCCCAATGGAGTAGCTCAATTTCAGCCTCTAGGAGCTATCGACGAGAAGAGCTCGGCCAGCGATGCGAGCCACCATGACATTTCAGATGCCGCTTCAAGCTCGAGCGGTGACTCCTTTAGCATGACCGGGGGTGACCTCGATGGCGAGGACGACGCCGCCGAGTCACCGCACATTCGCCAACATTCTGTCCTTACTGCAGACACCACCATTTCCGCCTCAAGCCAGCCCGTAGTCGCGTCATCTTCATCGCAGAAACGAGTCGTCTCCTTTGGAGGCGAAGCAGACGGAAGCTTGGAGAGCTGGATGGACTTTGAGCCAGACGCGCCGGCGGATCATCCCGAGCTCGGCAAGAGCCTAGTCCAATCCCCCGTCTTGACACCCATCAAGCCGGTGCGGCCGCTATCCCGACTAGGCGACCGGTCCATCAACGAATCACCGCCCCGGGCCAAGAGCGCCAATGCCGCAGCCACTACGCGCCGGCTGTCCAACCCGTTTGAGGGTTACACCCGGCCCACAAGCCGGGCCCGGAGTCTGCATCTAGACCCTACCGCGGCGGCCGTTGCTGCTGCCGCCAAGGAGCAGAACCGTCATTCGATACACTCGATTCACTCACTTCACTCCGTCGACATCGCCGTGCCCACGCGTTGCTCATCGCTGAGGCACCGTGTCTCATTCACCGATGACGCCCGCAAGGCCATCTCTACTCGGTCTCGTTCGCGTTCGCATGCGTCTTCGCGTCATGTGCAACCCGATCACATCGTCGCGCCGGGAACGGATCGTAGCTCTATCATTTCCGATCTTAAGGAGGAACTGGAGCCATGGTTCCGTTACCTCGATGCGCAGGGCACGCCAACGCCAACTCCTCGTCAGGGCCTGGCACCCCCTTTACTCGTGACACCGCGTCCAACCTCCCGCTCCGGCGCCGCTGGTCCTTCAAGAGCATACACCACCCCGACTCCTCGTCCCCGATCCCAGGCTCAAACAAGGTCTCGGCCTACGTCGTCTCTAAGCACATCCTACACCTGGCTCGAGGACCCGATCGACATCCCGCCTCCTCCCTCGGATGACCAAAGCCGCCGTATTCCCCTTCCTCCCAACGTGATGGAATCCCTCCGCGTCTCCGTGACATGCTTCCCCGAGACAACGCTCCTCTGCTCCAGCCTCTCTATCGAGACGATCCGTAGCTACTCCCGCAAGGTCAGACAACCAGCCGCTCCGGAGGCTCTCCGCCCAGACACCCCGCCCGCATCCCCGAAACGCTGGCGCTGGCTCAGCTCCCGCCGCACCTCCAACCTCAACCGCCGCTGCTGCTCCCGCGGCGCGTCCTCCTCCAACCTCGATCTCCCCTCCTCTGCCTCCCTATCGCCGTCGACGGCTACTCTTGTTGCTCCACCCCAGTGGTCCCGTATTCGCAGCGTCTTTCCCCACGGGTCAGATTGGCTCTGCGACGCCCTCTACGCTCACATCGTCGCGTACAACTACCTCGCGCCCATGGTTCAGAACAGTACGACACATTCGCAGCCGAGACCACCCACACCTGCTAGCCCCAGCAGCAGCAGCGTCATCACGGATGACTCCATCCCAAAAAAGGCCGCCACCTTACTCGGCCTTCAGGGCATGCAAGGGATGCAGGACATGACGACATCGCCACCGCCGCCAAAGTCGTTGCGGAAGCGATCCAGTATGTTTCTCGGCCTCCGGACCTGTTCGGCGTCACGGCAGACTCCAATTGCAACGCCGGCTGCTGCTACCGTGCCAACAATGACGCCGGCGGCACACTCGGCTGCGGTCTCTGATGTCCCTCTTCGGGAGTTGCAGCAGGGACTGTCGCGGTGTATCGCGCACCTCGTGACGACGTTGCGTGCCGGGGGTTCCGGCAGGTCCATGGTGGGAGGCGACCTGATCAACGAGGTTGATCCGCTCGTCATGCGATCTTTGTGCGAGATTGTCAAGTGCTGCGAGGAGTCGCCGAGCACGACGAATGATCGGTCTTTGTAACAATATGTTTATCATCTTCATTATACCATTAGAGTTTTGTTTTATTTTTGTGTGTATTTATCAGCGGACTTGAGGCAAACTTGGTAGTCATGAGGCGCTCAGGGGTAGGGTTATCAGGGAAGCGCGCGAGTCTTGTTCTGGAATTTGGTATATATACCCTGATTTCTTGCCATTCAAGCGTGGAGTAGAAAAGGGGGTTGGCCAGTCACAAAAGACAAAAAAGCCTACTAGGGGAGTTCGGCATGGTGTTTGGGGGGTAATGGGTAGAAGGGAATCAAATGGCCACACGCCTCTTTCACACTCGCCTCGTCGTGCACAAGTTAATGTTCAAGATGTAGTGACGTCGGTGAGGAAGAGTTGGAAGGATGTCATGAGTGAGTTACTTGGTTCACAATATCCTACGCTGAACATTTTCTAGTCGGAGGACACGCTATAGTGTGTCTAGACTGTTTGCATAGTTCTTTTGTTATCTGGTAGTCTTCGATGGACTAGCAATTTCTTCACATACTATGCAACAGTGTGAATCAGTTAGGACGACAAGGTGCTATACCTACTTTACCGTATAAGACAGATCAGACACCAAGCTCCCGGTTTCCGAAAGGTTTGACTTTTTCCCCATCTCCGTTTTTTTTAATACCTATCTCCAAAAAAGGGAGAATCACTACTAAATAAGTCTCGAACAATTCAACGTATAGCAGTCGACTAAGCTCTCTCCTCACACTCACCGCATCCTATCACAGAACACCACTTCACCTTTCTTCTCACTATCTCGCAGTAATTCAACACAAAATATACACAAAATGGCGAGTGCACACAAGCAGCAACAAGATTCCCAATTTCTCCATCACCCAACATGGCGAACACCATACGGCCTCGGCCGTTTGCGCAACCGCTTTCAGAACCTGCCGGCGAAGGTCCTGCTCGCCATTGTAGAGCAGGCCATCCAGCCCGAGGCTAAACGCAGCCTTCGCCTGGATGATGGCGGACCGTTGCCATCGGAGCTGCAGCGGCTGGGGCTGCCCTTGTTATCATCATCAACAACACCAAACACCGCCCGGGCCCAAGAACCGGACGGGGCTTCAAAGCTCAACATGCCCGCCCTCGCAACGCTCTTTTACCTCGGCCTCCTCAACGACAGACTTCGGGAGTTGATCCTACCCATCCTCGAGTCCCACGCGCGCAGAAACTCCTCCCGTAGCACAAACGCAAGCATGAACACTACCTCACTGACAGATCCGAGCGGGTTGTACTCCTACATTCTCATCCTTTCCACAATAAGAGGTATTCCCGAAGGTGTCATCGCCGCTCTGGACCACGGCGCGGATATCAACGCCAACGACAGCATCGACGAGTTCCTCGCAGCCAGCAGAGTGACCAACGACAAGCCCACGGGCTCGTGTCTGACTGCCCTCCATTGGGCGGCCTTTAACCGCGACACTGCGATACTCCGCCTCTTACTCGACCGCGGCGCAGACGTCCGGCGCACGGCGGATCGCACGGCGGACCGCACGGCGTACAGCTCCACCGGCGCCCGCAGCCCGATTCGGGCCCCGGGGTTTCGCCCGCATTTGCTCTTGGGCCCAGGCGATCGCCTAGAGCACAACGTGAAGACGCTGGTGAATGCTCTGGGTTTCGCGCTTCAAGCGAATTACGGCCTCTTGCCTAAGGGCATGACGGAGCAGCAGCGGCAGGCGTTCATCGTTGACCGTGATACGCGAGATGAGGAGGCTGTAAGGATACTCGTCGAGGCCGGGTGTCCTGCTTTCGTTGAGGAGCATTGGCAGCGGGAGTTCAATGACGCCTGTGAGCTGGAGCGGTGGGGTGTTGCGCGGGATATGTTGGCGGATGCGGAGTGGAGGAGGAGGTGCGCTGAGAGGGACGATTATAGGCCGCTGCTGTCTCTTGTGCGTGTTGTACGAGGGAGACGGCGGTTGATAGGTGATGATGAGCATGAGTGATGAGTTTGGTTGGGGATGTTTTCGGGGATAGTGAGGTTGTTGGAGAGAGAGGATGGGATGTCAAGCTTTTGTTGTTAATTTCCTTGGGAGAAGATTTTCCTCTTAGGTTCATGACGGCGGCTAGTGAATATCGGGGAACGTCCATCGTAGGAACTCTCGTGCTATGAAAATGCATATTGCCGCGTGGAACCGCTTTCTCTATGACTAGTAGCCAGATATTCTATTCAGGCCTCAAGCGCTCTCAACCTAAATCCTCCAATAGTTGAGGGATGCTCATGATCGGGAGTAGCTAAGTATATATCTCAGTACAAAGATCATTGCATTAAGTCTTCGGTTCAACTTCACTACAGTTTGCTACATCTTGCTGACATGTTTACATTCACACAAACCTCAAATCAACAGACTGGCTTACCTTCATAGGCGTAGACGGACAAATGCGTTCGGTTAATATTAATGCTTATTACTAAGTATGTAAATAAAATATACTAGTTGAACGCGGCTTTAGAGGCTTTAGCAGGAGAGCGACGGCTCTGTTAGCTCGTCCTTAGAGCAATGATAGTGAGTTAAATGTTGAAAACGGTGTTGTGTTGAAGATATATCGTACATGTATTCGTATTCCGTACTCATAAATCACCACACCCTTCTATACTATGAATACTCAACACTCCCTTCAAATGGATACGGATCCCTCACAACCCTCCCAACCTGCGAATCCCAATCCGGATCTCCAATCCCATCCCCCTCCTCCTCCTTATCCCCCTTCCACCCGCCGCGTGGCCTGGTAGTCCTCCCCATCTCCCCCCTCCCAACCCGCCCCCCACTTCCCGCACCATCACCACGTCCACCACCGCCACCAACAGGGCCATCACCATCATCACCATGCCACACCCTCGCCACACGCCCCTTCCCCCGAACCCCCTTCATACACCCGTTACTCAGCCCCAACAAGCCCGCACTCCCCAGCAACAGCACAAGCAGAACCAGATTCCCCGCCTGCGAGACGTTGCCGCTAAAGATGGCGACGACGTACACGGCCAGCTTGGCCGTCGCTTCCAGATAGCCCTGCGCGGCCGTCTTCGCGAGGAGCCAGGCGTCTGTTGTCAGGGCGGCGAGGTCGTCTGCGGGGCCGCGCATGCGGATTTTGAGGGAAGGGGTTAGGGGGATGAGGTATTCTGTTAGTTTTGGTGGTAAAGACGATATGGCTATGCCGCCGTTGCCGTCGCTAGTGAAGAACGGAGTTGGTGGTGCCGCCGGGGCTGGCCCGGGAGGGGGAGGGGTGCGTTGTTTGATGATGTAGATGTTGAGGAGGCGGGATGTGATGAGTGCTAGGATCGATGCGAGACCCCACCCTTGGATGGTCGTTAGTTTCGTTGCGGGAGGATACTCCACCGTCTAGATCTAGTTTGAGATTGATTGTGGGAGAAGAGATCGTGAATAAAGGGGGTTTGGTGGAAATCGAACGATCAAAGGTGGGTTACCATGCAGAAGGGGGGAGACGTGAGAAAAAACTACCAAGAAACACAAAACTCACAGTCTGCTAGTAAAATCATGATAGTCAATGCAGCAAACGTAAGAACCGGACTCGCGAGGTACAGCAAGTGACTGCCCCGCTCAAACTCCCACTCAGAGTCGTGCTCAAAAGCCCGGCCGCGTCGGTTTCGGCTCCGGCTCCGTTTCCGGCCGGTGGAGACGGTGCCGACGTCGAGTGTGATAATCTTTTCTCCGCTTCCTCCTCCTGCTCCGGTCCCGGCTCCGATACCGTAAGCCTCGACTCCGCCGCCGCCGGCTAGCTTCCCTCTCTTGAGCTCCTTCTCCCGCGCCCGCTCCTCCTGGACCCCAAGTCGTGAAAGAAAGAGCAACATCCCCGGATTCGTCACTTTAACATCCTTCTTTCGTCCGCCAGGTAGAGCCTGCATGCCGAAGATGCCGCCGCCGCCGTTTCCTCCCCCTCCTCCGCCTCCCGCGGCGGCACCTCCGTAGCCGAACGCAGAGGACGTCTGGGCCGTGACAGCACCGCTGGTTCCCGCAATACTATCGGCCGCTTGCTGATAATGCAACCCCGGCGCGAGGACGAGGGCGTCGAACCACGACGACGTGCCCGTCAGTGCGGTGCGGTTGGCGATGGTCTGCAGGTCCGCGAGGGCGACGAGACCTGCTGCTGAGAGGGAGAGGCCTGGGATGGGTTCTTTGGAGAGGACTGGGAAGGGCATAATGTTTGGTGTGGGCTTGCTTGCTCCCACCCAGCCTTGTTAGAAAACAAGAAAGGCTTGACGATTAAGATACTTTAGAGGCGGGCAGCTGGTCTTGGATCTCTTATCTTGATCGGGCTTGATGGGGGGTCTGGTAGGCGCCTTGAGCCTCACGCTGATGACGTGGTCGAGATCCTCGGCGGCGGTATCGTCACGAGGACGAGGAGGGCATGGTGTTGGCTTTCTCCTTTGGCGACGACAAGGACAGGATTAAACACGATGAACCCGGGCTTTTGTCTCGATGAGCAAGCCGATATGCAAACAATCAAAGAAGGTTCCGTCCGAATGACCTTGGGTTGCAGGGTTGCATCCTGCTGCGGGCTGACCCTTTCGCCCCTCCATCCCACCCTCCTTCTGCCCCCCCTCCCTCCTCTATCCGAACTGCCTAGCATATCTACCTAGCTCTCCGAACCTCCAAAGCTTCCCAGCCTCTCTCTATCCTACCCCGACGCTATTACGTGCATGTGAAGTCGCAGCCAAGCTTGGAGCCGTTGCGAACGATGGCGCTGACGTTGGGTTCTCCACTTACCAACGCTAAGGTGTATGTAGCTCGCGCCGGCGTTGATTGCTACTCCGCATCTGAAGAGTTCCGATTCCCTACCCCACATAGAGTGTCAGACGCCGGCCGGCCGGCGCCGGACACGCCCGTTTTGTCTCAGACAGAGGAGTTGGCAAATAAGCTTAAGTCGAGTTTACACGGAACATTGAGTAAGTAGGATATGAGATGTTTGGGACAATAAGAGAGCTACGTCTAAAATGACAACGGTCCCGAAGGAGAACCAGGTTTTTGAGACCCCCCGGTTCACAAGTCCCTCAAAGCTTAGCAGGCTGCTGCGGCGCTGTAACATCACAAGAATGTTGAGCCATATTTGCGGCATCATCATTGGCTTCGAGTGACACCAGATAATCTCGCCCTTGAACCAGATTATGTGATCCACCTGGTGATCCATACGAAGCCCGTAAATGTGCATATATATACAATCTGGCGTGCGCCTAAACCGTATCTGGTGAGAACATATGGTGAGAGCGACCTGACCCAGATGCGCATCATTGATCTATCTTGGCCAACTGAATCGAAGCAGCCATACCGGAGGAATTCCAGCCGTCGGTATATACGAAGTCTTGGCTCTTGTCGTTCAATACAGTTGAGACTAGAGCATAGGTATTAGTGGCTGCCTTGCAAAGGAGCACTCTGAAAGTTGCCTTTACGTATCTTACGAGGAAAATCAGTGGAATCAGTTGTAGGGCCCGTTAACTTGACAAGTAGGGTTGATAAATGGAAGTGCTGAGACCCATGTCTAGAGAATCTGATATGGAGGTGAAGCCCTTCATCCATTCTCGTCACGCATTTATCCTAAATGAAAACAAGTGTCTTTTGAATGATTTGCCAGATCTATGGGACTTAATCAAGTCAGGAGTCAGGAGCTCTTGTTCGGCAAGGCAGTACGATTAGATGGCCAGAAGATCAGACTTCAAGCAAGTCTAAGTACCTAGTAACGTGATATCGAGGTGGCGCCAAGCACAACTACTCCCAAGGGAACTCGTATGGAGAAAGTGCTATCAACATAAGAGCAGAACCATGGCCATATAATCACTGGCGACTGGAGTCATCCTAGGACATACCCTTCTCGAAATACCCGAACCTAGTTCAAATTCATCTAGATTAACATATTGGGAACCCGTCGTGAATGTAGTAATAGAAGGGAATGTATCCGCGCAGATGATCACAGCCGCAACCACAGAAACACCACATCAATCTTCCTATCCATGCCTCATAAAGAAGACAACCCGTGACATCCTTCAAGTCGTGGCATCAGCTCAAGAAGAGCATCTCACAAATACGGGCCCAAAATCTCCATCGTCAAATCCCACACCTTACCCTGCGCACTACCCCTCAACTCCACCAAAGCACTTTCACTATACGAAACCTCCCCCTTATGATTCACCAAAAACAACCCATTCCTCCCTTCCTCCCCCCTCGTATTCTTACAACTTCCTCCATCCTTCTCCTTCTCCTTCTTCTCCCCATCCTCTTTACCACCAAACCTCCCACACGTCGCCAAATAAACATGCCTCTCCCCCGCCTCCCTCTCATCAAACCCCATGACCAAAAACAATGGCTTTAACAAATTCGTCAACGGGAAAGGACTCCACCACGTCGGCGTGTGATAACGCGCCATATTCCCCGTGTCCACGGCGCCGGGCCAGTTATGTACGAAAGAAACCCCCGTGTTGGCCGGGTCGGAGGCGAGGCGGTCGAGGAAGAGGGTGTTCATGGTCGCCATGTGCGTCTGCGTCTTGAAGCCGAAGAGTCTGCTGCTGTTGGTGCTGCTGGGGGAGGAGCGGGTGAGGTTGAGGTCTGTCGCGTCAATACGGGTGGAGAGCATGCTGCCTGCTAGGACGGTGAGGACGCGCGGGGAGGGGCCGGAGGCGGAAGCGCGGAGGAGGGGCAGGAGGTGTAGAGTGGCGAGCATACGAGAGTAGTACTCCAGAGAATGGCAGACATCTATCCCTTCCGTAGTATCTAGAACAAAATCAGTAAATTCACTCAACTCACCTAAATACTCATCCCTCATCCTCAACCAAAAAAAAAACAAGCAAAACCACACTCATCGAAAAAACTCACTATTCCGCCCCCCAAAAGGCGCATACCCAGCCGTTAAACACAAAAAATCAAGACTCGTCTCCTTTTCTTTAACAAGCTCACACACCCTTCTCGTCTCCGCGAGCAACGAGACCTCAGCCTCGACCCACACCAGCTCGGCACGCGGGTTCTTCTGCCGCAGGTCCTCGAGCACAGGTTTCATCGCCGGCTCCGTGGCTCGGCGCCCGGCGATGTAGACGCGGATGGGAAAGCCGAGCGATACCAGCTCGATGAGGGTGAGCTTTCCGATGCCCGACGTCCCGCCTAGGAAGACGGCTGTCCGGGGCGCGGTTTGTGCTGTGAGGTGGGCGTTGGAGTGTTGGACTTGGGCGCGGGTGACCATTTTGTATGTATTTTGTTTTTTGTATGACTTGGATTTTTTGTAGATGAAAGTGTGCGCGAAGAGGAAACGAAAAACAGTTTCTCTTTGAAGTAGAACATAAATCCAAACAGCTTCAATTCACTTGTTTGAAATGGATTCAATCATCTTTTATACAACCATGGCATCGAGCTTCGGATAGCTTCGCATTCCTCACCGGGTTAGCACCACCGGGATAGCAGAAAGCGGAGTTTGCTGACGCGCTAGTGGGAAGGAACTAACACCACCACATGCAAGCCCATCGGAGCATCAATCTGTAGTGTTGCCTAATGTACTTTATGGATGGGGGTTCAAGGTATTCATTGTGCATTTCCTTTAGTGACTTGGCCAACCACATCAACGTCCCAACACTTGCGTTGGCGAGAAACTCATGTGTTCTCAGCTATGAACGCCCGAACATCCGGGCGCGGGAGTAGTGGTGGAGGTTGCGCCTCTCCCGCATTCCCGATCCGGTAAGCGAAATGTCCCGCTTCTTTCTCCGCGGTCGCCGGCCGGTGGTGAGTGGGCCTCCCCTCCGGTCAGCGAGTGGCAGTGTCGGGTCTTCCAGTTCTCAGCATTTCTCAGGGGTACGTAGTGAAGGTCAGCTCCCTCTCAACCCATGAGATCAAGGAATTCGAATATGATGAATCATTCATTCCTTGTGGGAAATTTTCGGGCTTAAAAGTTTCTCTTAAGGATAGGTTTGTGACGCGGTCCGGATTAACATCTGGTTTGGCAAGCGGGTTGGGGATAAATCTATCCCGTCGGAGCAATAAAGAGTTGGGGAATTGTTAGTGCGAAATGTGCTTACACGCTGAACTGGAGCCTGGAGGACACCCAAAGATGACGCAGAACCATTACGGCGTCATCTGCATGGAACCTACTTAGGCAGTAACTCGCCATCAAATTCTGCGTCATCTTTTCTCCGAACCGGCGTCTATGATTATCATGAAATCCAAGAGGTCTATGAGTAAGCGGGTTGAGAGCGGGCGAAGTAAACCGCGAAATACCCCTCAGGACTCAGGAGATGCATTGGTAGTCTCGAAGTTTTCAAAAAGACTCCTCGTCTCCTCGCCTCCTCGCCTCTTGTCCACCAATAAGCAAGTTTGGTGAGAATGACCAATGTTTCGTGATACGCGGCTGGGGTCCCGCGCGCGCTCTCCATCACCTAGGGGGCTCCACGTTTCGAGTCGTCGATCATGGGCTGAGTATTCGTACACGACATGATCAAAATCCGAAATGTGCTCAAAGGAAAACAATCATTTAGCGGCATATGACTTGACTTAAATACGATTGCTGGCCATGGGAAAATGGATCGCCACGTGTAGACGCCAGTCTTTCTATACTTTTTTCCCTTTGTTGTTGTTCACTTACAGTAACCGTCGACACTTCATTGTAATTAGGGCCTGGGCAATAGAAGCTTATTTTGCTGGTGTCTCTCGGCGGACAATTGAGGCCTGCACTAGCGAGCGGAGAGGCACGGCGGGACAAGCAGCCAAGTGCCAAGTGCTGCAGGGCACAATGGAACGTCGAGACGCCGAGAAGTACGACCAGGACAGGACCAATCGCCAATTTCCAGCCCTGGAAGAATTAAGGATGTCTCACAACAAGGGGTAGAAGCAAGCTTGCTTAGGTTGCAACATGCGGAGAAGAGTTCTAGTACGACGTTAGCTGCTCTCAACGCAACGGTAAGTGCTTGGCGACGTCGGTATCCGCTTGGTGAAAGTTGCGTGTTCCGGTCCACCTCTACCGGAGCAGAGAACTGGCACCCGAATTGGGGCGAATGGTCTGCTTCGGGATGCGAGGGACGCGAGGGATGCGTATGTCCAGCTCAGCTTCTCCTTTGAGATTAAGGAGTATGACTCTGATGCTTAGGGGCACTTCACTATTTCGCTACCAGCCAAGCCAATCTACTCCGGAAAGACTCCGTTATGAGTGCCGTCGCCGCGACTTCATCATGCTTATAGGATCCGTTGTTCTGAAGGAGTGGCGATTGTCTGTTCTCTTGCCGCCTTTTGATGCATTGCGTCCCTTCTCAGGCATGTGCTCATAGCCAAAGAATCGATACACGAGTTCCATGTAGACAGACTCTTAAGTGGCGAGAGAATCAACGCCAGTGTTTCTCGCTGAGACGTTCCAGCCGCGGTGTGGTTCATCCTGGGTCAAGTGACAGCGACAACGTAGACACTGCAGATCTTGCGGATGTTGGATGAACCGACTGACAGTGACAACTTGACAAACCGAATGTTACGGGCGGTGCTGACGAAATATGAGGAGAAGTCGTCTTGGCTCACGCTCGCCGGTGACCTGTCACCATCTGCGTGGTTTATGCGTCGCAGAAAACTGGCTGGAAACCCTTGATGATGATGGAGATGACGACGTCCTTGGCCACCAAGACGGCATTCGGGATTCGCCAAGCCGACTCTGCTGAAGACTGCCGTTGGACCTTATGGGCGACGTCGCATTCAGATTGACTTCTCTTGTAGATGATGGAGACGAAAACGCTGGGCAACTTGGCACGTCGTCGGCAGAGATGGGGTCCCAAACAAATAGCGAAAGCGAAGACCAGCGCCAACGTCGAGTTGAGCAAGTTGCGCGCCGGACACCGAGGACGGGCCGTCGAGTGGTCTAGGCAGAGAGAGAAAGAGAGACAGAGCGTCAGGCCTACCCAGCTGAAGGGTAACTCTTTCTGCTCTCTGTGGAGATCGAGAACCAGATCGTTCAGTTGGGGCCACAGCCAAAAAGCTGGCCGGCAGGCAGATACTGGGGTGAGACCGTGAGTGGTGAGCCTGAAAGGACTCGAGGAGATGGGGATAGCTTCTCAAGTTCCCATGTCGTCGCTAAAACATCAGACGCGGTTCCGGTAGACGCTGGGACTTGGCGCCAAAGGAGGGGCCGTCTGACGTTTGGAGCGCGCCAAGAAGCTTCAGATGAAGGCAGGCGGTGCCGACGGGGAGGTCGAGACGGTCGGCGGGAGCGCGGAGAGGGATGGCATGGCTGGCAGATGGGCCGCGGCGAGGCGTGGTAATGGTGATGGATGGACAGTTGCGTGGGTGGTAAAAGTCCGAACTTTGAGGACGTAAGGTACTCCAGAGGCCGTAGACGGTAGGTAAGTGACAAGGGAGATTGAGTCGTAGACTGGCGTAGCTGGTAGAGAAGGGGAGGGACCGGGGCTGAAGAGCAGACGAATGCTACCGCGCAGGCGATGTTGTTGAAGACCATTGGTGAAGTTGAGATGCGGAGGTGGAGGTTTGTCGCAGGCCCCGGCAGTTTGGAAAGGCGTGAGACGCGCCCAGAAGAAATCAGGAGGTGCAAGACTTGGCGAGAGGCGCGGCCGGCGAACACAAACGCAGCCCAGTCCTCAAGCGGTCCATTGGTAGGCAGCCTACCTTCCTACCTTACAGCAGGTCGCAGCAGGTAGAGGCGCTGTAGTGCGGATTAAGCGAGGGGATTAGCGGACACCATAGGTAACCTAACCTGGTTCAAGGCAAGTTATCCGTTGCAGGGAAGATGTTTCCAGCGGTGTACCGCCTGGATGGGACGCTAGGGTGCACACCGGCCAGGCGCTCTCCCACATCACGACGCTTCCTCATTGGCAGTTTCCCATCGCTTAGCTTAGTCAGTTCTGGACTTTCAGCCGTACATGTGGTTAAGCTCCCCATTTGCTGTCCATATGGTGGCGGCTCACATATCGCTAGCTTTGCCATCACCAAGTTGCCCCCTTCCACTTCCGCCCCCAGTTTGACTTGGCAACCATTTAAGCTCTTGGCCCTGCAAAAATCAGCTGTTTTCTTCCTCCCTGCTCCTTCTTCCTGTCATCCCTTCTCACAAACTTCACACCTCTCGACGGGGTCCAACATCCTTTCAGTCTTAGCGTGTCTGTCAGACAAGTTGTCGGGCTCTCCTCAGTCGTCATCCGTGGGCCGTAGCTTGGCTGCAACGCAAGAAAGAAGGAAGGAACCTAAGTAATCTGGTGTGCAATATGTGCAAGGCAGGAACGTGCTTCATCTGAGGTGCTTCAGCTTCGCACCGGGTCTTGCCATGCGGTCGACTGAACTTGCTCTTTCCTACTGCGGTCTGGAACTGGCTGCTGTGTGTCCTGTGCGTCGTCTCACCACACGGTGACGGTTGAGAAAAGTGGACCCGAATACCCCCGTGTCGTCCGAACAGACTCAACGTGACAGAGACAGGCAAGAGCAGGAGGTCGTGCATGGCTTAAAGGCTGTTAAGGTTTAGAGCGCTACCAATGGTGAACAAGGTTTTTTCTGACGGCTGCCTCATCCCTGGTTGCTTCCTGCCATTACACACTACCTTACCTTACCTTACTCTTGCCATATCTGCCACGCGTACGAGTAAGAGCAGGAACGATGGTTCTTTACAGCTTTCATCTACCTTACCAGGCTTACCTGACCTGACGTGCCTACTCTTTGCTTTACCTTCCATAGTCAGGAGGAAAGAACAGGCTTGGGGTTACCTTAACCTGAAGTTGTTGCCCAGACCATACCTTACCACAGGCATCGCACCTACCAGCTTTTCTTTACATCTCTAACACCCTCACTCAGCCGAAGAAGGGGACACATGCGGATACCTTCTTGAGTAATGTAGTAGGCAAGCACGGATAACTCAGCACAAGGTACTCCGTACCTTACTCCGTACTTTCCTTCTCAGCCAGCCCGTAACACGTGGTCCAGGGAAAGTCCGAGGGATACGTACCAACGGCCCACCTTGCCATGGCACCTTCCATCCACCTCATGCCTTACTGAGTACGGAGCAGTGTCTGAGTGTCCGAGTCTCGTGCTCCAGTGGCAACCTAAGTGCTGCTGCTCCCCGCCTTCCAATCTCTTGGTATTCTCTTGGATGCATTGCTCGGCCTCTTGGACAAAGAGCCTCAATTCTTGACTTCCGTCTTCCCCTAGACATCACTCCCGCAAATGGTATTCTTCCGGCTTCGACCTGGCCAACGCCGCTCTTGTCGTCGATCCTCC